GGGTGGTGGGCTAGCCTGGAGAGGGAGGGTGGTGGGCTAGCCTGGAGAGGGAGGGTGGTAGGCTAGCTTGAACCCTCAGGCTCCAACCCCACCCTGCAGCCCCATGTCCAGCCTCTGCCCTCCACCCTCACCTCCCCAATACCTCTCCAGCCCCCGATCTGCATGCCACTCCCCCATGCCCCCCAGACTGCAGCCTGTGCCCCGGGTCCCTGCCCCTCTCTCTGCAGAGACCCTCTGGCTCAGTGTCAAGTCTCCCGTCCAGCAGCTCCTGTGACATTCTGGGTTGTATGACCCCTGTTTACTGCCTGTGGCCCCCACCCCACCACTTACATGGGGCCCGGACCCAGCAGCCCCATGAGAGGGGCAACTGTCGTCCCCCTGGGACATGGAAACCAAGGCTCCGTGAAGTGATCTGCTGGAGGAGGGGTCCAGCTCGAGCGGGGAGCTAGCTTGCCTGCCTGCAGGCTCCAATGAGGCCAGGGTCCCAGCTCCTCGTTCCTGCGTTTCTAGCCTGAGCCGGGTGGGAGGGGCCCTCTCCCTCCGCGACCCGGCTTCCTGGGCCCCCCAAAGCCCGATGATATGGAATCACCTCCCCCCACCCTTGGGATCCTAAGCAACTGGCCCGGCCCAGTCACTTCTGGGCCCTTCCTGGGTTGCAAAACCCCCAACAAATCAAAGACAACCCGGGGAGGAGGAAGATGGACCTTGGCCCCCCCAAGTCACAGGTCACGCACAGCCCAGCAACGAGCCTGCAGTGCCCGCTGCACCCCAAGGAGGATGCTGTTTCAGCCTCTGTGCTGGGAAAAGAGCAACAGGAGTTGCACTATGGGATCCTGCAGGGCTGCTGGGTGTCCTGCCTGCCGGTCGGGAGGACGGATGTTTATAGAAGGAGCCTCACAGAGGCATTGATGGAGGACCTGGGCAGAGATAAGGAAGGGTGGGGCTGTCGTCAAGGAAACGGAGGGGAGGGAGGGGTGCAGGCAGGACCTCTGCCCTTATTTCCAGCCCCCGGAGAATTGAGAGAAATGTGGTGTCACAAGGGAGAAATTACTTTCCCTCTGTCGGCAGCAAAGAAGTAGGGGCTTGCGAGATGCAGAACATGGTGTCTAGGGGGAAGACGAGGCTCTTACAGACTCTCAGCCCCAAAGTATCCCAATTACAGAGGGGGAGGGTCCAAGATGATGGCAGGGAAGAGGGAGACTTGGAGCTGGGGTTTTGAGGGATGCATAGGAGTTTGTCGGATCCCTGCCCTCCAGGAGTGCCAGCTTGGTGAGGGAGGCAGGGATGGATGGATACAAACCCTTGAAGTCCTGTGTAGCTGGGGGCTGGACTGAAGCATCTGGGGCCCCTTGCCTTGCCCCCACTCCAGGGCAGCTCACCGTACTTCGTAAGCCCCCTTAGGATACCAGGCATTGTGCTGGGCACTGGGGACCCAGTGTGGGCAAAATGGGCTGGCTCTGGCTCTGGGTAGGGGGCTCAGGCAGGTGGACGAGATAATACGGAGTGGGGGAGGGGGACCTCTCAGGCCACATGAGGGGCAGCAGGGCCGGCCAGCGCTGGGCTTGGCTGATAACACGAAAGGGGCCCCACTTCAGACCATCTGGATTCCTCCACCTCCGGCATGGGAGGGGTTAACCCCAGGCCGCTGGGCAGTGGGGGTCTGGGCGGCCCCCCCCTTTCATCTCCTTCTCTCCCAGCCGGCCTGGCTGGGCTGTGTTTACAGAAGCTTCTGGCCAGAGGGAGGGGCTGGCGGAGGCCCTGGACAAAGCAAAGGCTGGGTCCCGGAGCACCCCCGTGGGCCCCGCAGCCCCTGGCTGGGCCCCCAGCCCCGCCCCTTCCTGCCTTGTGGGCTCGGGAGGCCCCGTTCTCCGGTAGGCCTCAGTTTCCCTCTCTGAAAATCAGGGACAATCATGACACCCTCTTGAGGGGGTTGTCCAGAGGATGGAAGGGGGGAATCACCCAGCGGTGGGCACTCTTAGGCCCACCAGCTGCCCTGGCCTCGCCTCGCCCATTTCTGCAACACGGGCCTCACTCACCTCGCTTCTGCATGAAGCTGAACAAGTCGTCCAGGAACTCCTTCCTCTTGGGGTCCCCGTCGAGCTCGTACAGCTGTGAGGGCGGAGAAGGGGTGGGTTAGAGGTGCCACGCTTGGGCACCAGAGCCGCGCTCCCACCGCACAAAACGGGCCTGTCCTGAGCCTTCTCCCCATTGCTCAGATGCAGCACTGAGGCCCGGGGTGAGGGGGCTGCCGGCAGGGACGGGAAATGGGAGTCCTGGCCCTCAGGCCCCCACCCAGAGCCTCTACCAGAGTCCAAATGTCTCCTGAGGCCCCACAGAGTGGACTCTGAACTTGACCTCATTTTCCAGGCGAGGACCCTGAGGCCCAGCATCCTGCGGCCACCGTGACAACGTCCCACTTGCTGAGGAACAACACAGATTTATTCTCTCTCAGTTCTGGAGGCCAGAAGTCTGAAATCAAGGTGTGGGTAGGGCCGCGCTCCCTCCCGTGGCTCTAGGGGACGATCCTTCCTTGTCTCTTCCAGCTTCTGGGGCTCCAGGAGTTCCTGGGCTTGTGGCCGCATCAGTCCCCTCTCTGCCTCCGTCCTCACACAGCCATCTCCTAACTTCCCTCTTGTCTTAAGGACGCCAGGCACTGGAGTAGGGCCCACTCCCCTCCAGCGGGACCTCGTGTGAATGGGTGACATCTGCAAAGACCCTATTTCCAAACAAGGTCACGTTCACAGGTCCCAGGGGTTAAGACTTCAGCATGTCTTTTCCGGGGGACGCAACTCAACCTACAACAGCACCCACCCGAGGTCATGCAGCAAATAATCGCCATCATGACACATGCAGTTACTTCGCCCACAAGCCCGTCTGCTCTGGAGAGGCGGCTCCGTTGTGCAGCAAGGAAACCGAGGCAAACAGCAGCAGAAAAGACACCAATACCCAGGATGTTGGAAACACGAGGCCGGGGGCTCAGTCCCTGGAGGTCGAGTCTACACAATGTTACCAGTGACATCCCAGGCACGTGACCCTCCAGTGACTCGGTTTCCCTGACTGTAAATTGAATCAATGATAGTCTCTGCCCTCCCGGGTTATGATCAGGGAGAAATGAGATGTGACTGTGGGAAAGGACCTCGGTCTGGGGTGTTGATGGGCAGGGGCATCCTTCGGCCCTGCTGACCATCAGCTCACAGGTGCTGGCAGGCAGGCGGGCGGACAGGGGCATGTGGGAGAAGCCGGCTGAGATAATTAGAGCGCGGAGTTCAGGCGGGGGGCGATCAGGGAGTCACCGAGGAGGAGCATCGACAAAATACCAGGCTTCAAATTAAGCTCCGGGGAATGTGGCCGCCACAGCCGCCCGCCCAGACTCAGGGAATCAGGACTGTGGGGGCCTTGAAACCACCAATTAGGCCTTGGCTGGGATAATCCCTCATTAGGGCCCAGGGACCTGGTCACCCCCTGGGGATGCTGGGTGCTGGGAAGGCAGGGTCGGGGGCCTGGCCACCTCCGGTCATCTGCCCTCTCTGGACCTTGGTTTCCCCATCTGGGTAATGGGGACAACGAGGACCTCCCACCGATGGGCTGGGAGGGGGGGACCCAGAAGCCCAAACGGGGCCCTGGGTGGTCGGGGCTGAACAGAGGGCCAGCTGCTGAGCCTTTGTCTCCGCCCCTCCCAGCCAGCCAGCGCCAGACTGGCCGGCCCGCATTCCTGGGATGATTTATGGTGGCCGAGGAGGCCCGAGCCTCCCCCAGCCCTCAGCTGCCTGAGGGCCACCGTGGGGCCTGCAGGTGGACGTGCTGGCCGCCGGACTGTCCTGCGGGCGTGCACACACCCATCCGTCCGTCCACCCGTCCACCCCCTGCCCCTTCCTCAGCTCTCCCTGCCTACAGAGCTGAATCCATTAGACAGGAACCCCGCTCACGCTGGCCCTCTCCAGGGACACCCTCAACTCCCACTCTGGCCCTTCCCAGCACCTTTAGCCATCTGAGCCAAGAAGGAGTTCATACACTTGGTTTCTTGTCCATCAGCCCCACTGGAACATCGGGGGTTTTTGCCAGCCTTGTTCCGGGTGTCTGGAAGCCAGCAAGCACACAAGAGTGGCTTAGCAAACGCACCCTGAGCGAGCCTGGGCCGTTCGCAGGGGCCGGCAGGGCACAGCGTAAAAGCAGAGACCACGGTGGGGACCTCTGAGGGGGCAGCTGCCTGCGTCAGGGAGGAATCCATCCTGGGGCAGGAGGGATGGTGGCCCCCATATCCATAGCCCCCCAGAAGCTCAGGATGGACCTTACTTGGAAACAGGGTCTTTGTAGATGTCTCGAGATGACACCATCCTGGTTGCTGATGGGCCCTGAGTCTAATGACGGGTGTTCTTAAGAGAAGGACAGAGAGACACAGAGAGGAGACGCCATGAGGGAACGGAGGCAGAGAGGGGAGTGACGTGGCCACAAGCCCAGGGACGCCTGGGGCCACAGAAGCTGGAAGAGACAAGGAAGGACCCTCCCCTAGAGCCTCTGGACAAAGCGTGGCCCTCCGGACTCCTTGGTTTCAGACTTCTGGCCTCCAGAACCCTGAGACCATGAACACCTGTTGTTCTAAGCACCCCCAGCATGTGGATCTTTGTCACGGCGGCCCAGGCCACTCAGACAGGGACCAAGGAACTTTGGGCACCTCCCACAAGAGGGGACAAAACCTTCTCTGAAATTCCAACCTGGGTGGAGAGGGTTCCTCCCTGCCTGAACTCTCTCCTGGGCCCAGCCCCCAGAAGGGACCTCACTGCCCCTACTGCCTCAGTTTCCCCAACTGTCTGGCAAGGATCATCCTGGGCAGCTGGAGCTGTCACGACCTCCACTCTCCAGGTGGGGAAATGGAGGCTCAGGGTGGTGAACAGCTGCTCCGTGTTGGCGAGGGCAGCAAAAGCAGGCTGGCTCAGCAGGGAGAGGCTAACAGCCACCCCGCTCCCCAGGCCAAATGGTGGACAGAGGCAGTGGCCGAGAGTGGTCAGACCCCCGTGGGGCTGGGGCATTGACGAGAGGCCATAAAGGGGGAACTCCAGGGCCCCCAGCTGCCAGAGGAGGGCGCGGCATGAATGGCCTTTGCTTCTACCACCTAACAACAAAGACGGGCAGTGAAGGCTGCTGGCTTTATGGGGCTCGGCCCCCCGTTCCACTCCCCTGCAGGGTGGGTCCAGCCCTGGCCAGCCAGCTGGGGCTGCCTGCCACGCCCTGAGGTTGAGGGAGCTGGGGACGGTATCTAGGCCCCCCCATGGCTGTGTCCAGGCCCCGCCTGTGGGGCAGAGCTCAAAACTGGCAGGAAACTTGCCCGAGGTTGCACCTCCAGGCCACAAAGCATCCTACACCAAGCCTACACCTCGGTTCTCTGGGCCACACTCCTGAGGTGGACCAGAAGGCGCTGAACTCAGCCTCAGAGGCTGCTGGCCACCCCAGCCACAAACCAGGGCTGGAAATTGGGCAGAACCTCCGGAAACTCCTTCCCTTGGCCTGAGGGCAAAGATAAGCCATCCGGCCCTCCCTTCTCCCCACAGCCTGATTTCCCCGGGGGTGGGGGCACCTGGGTCCTGGAGGAGAAAGGGTACTGGGTGGGGGGACCCCCGGGCCCCTCTGCTCCTGACTGCTCCAGAGATAAAGCCACCCTCTCCCTGTGGCCCCCAACGCCCGCCCAGAGGTCCCACCAGGTCCCCATTTCCCTCCTCCCCCCGTCCCCCACGTCCCTGCTGTTTCTCAGACCAGCCAGGCCTTGGCCCTGGCTGCCCCACTCGCCTGTAAGAACTTCCCAGCTCTCTCAGCTCTCACTGTTGCCGCCCTCCAAGAGGCCTCCCCAACTCCCTGAGGACTCCCCATGTTCTCCTATAAGGCGGCCTCTGCTCTGCTTCCTATCTTCGCAGACACTTTTGATCCCCACTCGCAACACTTCGATCATCAGCGATTTTCTTGCTCAACGCCAGTCACTCTTTCCCTCCCTGGCCCCTGATGCCGTCTGAGCCCTGGTAGAGTTTACAGATTTGTCTCAGTTTTTGTACGTCTGTCCCACCGAACACCGGGGATTTCTGTCAGGGTTGCTCCCGGTGTCTAGAAGCTGGCGAACACACCAAAACCCAAAAAACCAAACCCACCACCATCGAGTCGATTCTGACTCATAGTGACCCTACAGGACAGAGTAGAACTGTCCCATAGGGTTTCCAAGGCAGTAATCTTTACGGAAGCAGACTGCCACATCTTTCTCCTGCGGGGCGGCTAGCAGGTTCTAACCGCTTACCTTTCGGTTAGCAGCCAAGTGCTTTAACTACTGCGCCACCAGGGCTCCTCAGCAAGTGCACAGTAGCTGCTCAATAAATGCTCGTTGAATGGACCTGGGTTTTCTCAGCTGAAACATGGGGACGTGGGGACAGGGACGCTTGTCCCCACCGTCCTGGTCTAAATCTGAGGTGTGTCCGTTGACACTAACACTTTGGGTGAGCTATGTCCGGGGCACACAGGGTTATCGGTGGGGGGGCCTGAAGTCTGGCCCAGGGCAGAGGCACCCAGCAGGCGCCCTATAAGTGCACATCTCCCTTCTCTGGTTTCTACCTGGGAAGTGGGGGTGGCTGTGCCACAACGTCCCCTCCATCTGACCCTTCAGGCTCAGGCGGGGCCCTCACCCCCTGCCTGCCCGCCCCGTGATGGGGGCCTTGATCCGCTAATCACCAAGGTCAGGCTGAATATGTGTCAATCTCCCCCTCCCCAGCACCGTCCACTTCACAGAACGGGAAACTGAGGCAGGGAGCAAGGTGGCGTCCACATTCAAGTCATTGATCAGGTTCTCAGGGGCCTCAGTCTCTGTGTGGGTTCCATAGGGAGTTGGAATGTCCCTCAACCCAGGTGCTGAGGCCGGAAAGCCAGGATCACTTGACTGACGGCTACCCCCCACCCCCGGTCCTGTCCCCGCCTCTCTGCTCTCCCCAGACCCTCCCTCCCCTCCCTGCCAGCCCCTTCCCCACTCAGCAGCCAGATGGGCTTTTCCCAGCAGCCTCCCTGTTCTAAAGCCTCCTCATGGCTCCCCAGCTACCCTCCAGCCAAAGTCCTCCCTTCTCCCCCCGCCCCTCCCCTCC